CATTCATTATGTTCAAAATCCTGTCAATTATTACTTCTAAAAAATCTTGTATTAAAGAGTTAGATATTATTGGTAACTTGATAAACAGGTATTTAAGTTAAAAACATCAGTCTGCATCTGACACAGATCACTTAGGGATCTCATTAGCATCCATTTTCTGCATGTTTTATGTAGACTCAAGTTGACATTTTGGTTGAAGTTCACTCCACAGAACATGTGCCTTACATGATTTAAAAAAAATAAATAATTAAGTCCTTTTTTTTTAATCTGGAGGATTACAGAGGTTTTGGGTTAGTTCTCAACACAAAATGTACGTGTTATTTTATACAAGTTTCTAAGGCTTCAATCCCTTAGGAAAAAAAAAAAGAAGTAAAATTAAAATACAACTTCTCCATCTGCCCTTCCGAACACATATCCTACCTCAGGCTTTAGCACTTCAAGAGTCAGACTGTCCACACAAGCAGATCTAGGTGACATCTTCTGGATAAAAGGTCAGGACTGGACAAAACCATTTAAGTCAAGCTCAGTGAAATAATTTCAAAAAATGTCAATGTCCTAAAGAATAGTTAACTTTTTTTCATTTTGGATGATTCTAAGCCTGAACACTGGACTTCTAGTCCAAAAAGGCCATCTTGCTGGATATAGCTAGATTTTGAAAAAAGGAGAAAATTGCATACAACATATTTTGCTATGCAGCTTCTAAACCTTGTAATTACAGCCACTAAAATCATATAATCTGTTAAAAAATTAGTACAAAAAAGAAAACTCATACAAAATCAAGTAATTATTTAAGACTGTTGGTCTGACCTTGCAAAATACTTAGGTAGGTGCTTAATTTTAAGCATGTGAGTCCTTGTGCCAAGAGAGATTTTATGGTGAACACTAATGCACAAATATTAGTTAGACTGGCTCTTCCACTTCAAGATAAGCATGGACTTAAGTGCTTTGCTGGATATGGATCAGGATGCTCAGCACCTAACACGACTTTAGGCGCTGATCCAGCAAAGCACTTATCCACACGAACAACACTGCTGACTTTAAGATCACTGCTCATGTGCTTAACATTAGGCATGCTCGTAAGTGCTTTCCTGGAAGGGCCCGATAGACCAATAGTGTATAAGCTATAAAATTTGAAGCAGCGTATGTTTAACACACCGCATATTTAACAATGTTAATCTGCTGAGATTTGCTTTTTCTTGGAACAGGGCATGTCTAACTTCAAGCATTTATTTTCAGAAAGTGCGTAAAAAAAGCCCTTAAAAGCTGCTTTGAGATTATGGCAAGTTAAAATAATATTAGCGAGTACCCTTATGCTCCTTTCATTTCTTCTTTGCATGTCTTTGTGCAGGCATCTAAAAAGGAAAGAGAAAACCCTAGTCATAAACATTAATCTATTCAAATAAACATCCGTGCATTTAGTTTCCCTCTAAAAAACATCGTCAGATGCAACTGAACACCTGAAAACAAACATCACTGAACTCTTCCAAATTTCAGATCTGAATGCAAATCCTGCCAACTATGCCGCCTTTTCCACTGAAAGTATTCAAATCATCAATTGTCACTTCTACGAATAGAACTAAGTTTATTACTTAAGACTGAAAATGATGTGCAAGTCCAACCCTTACATATGCCTAAGTCAGTGCTGGTATTTCCATATGAAGTTTTACATGCCCACTGATGTCAATCCATTTGCCATGTGAAGTCTAAAAAAGTGGAAGTGTAAGAGCTGCTTAATCCCAGAACAACAACTATTAAAAGCATCACAACTCATCAGAAATTTACATGAACATGTAGAGATGGCATGTTAATGCCAGAAAGAAATAAAGTAAGACCACATTTCTGTAATAGTGCTCGCACATTGTTTCATACTAAGCTAACCAAGGAAGAAATAGCAAAACAGCACTTCATAAGGACCTACTGCTACTGCTGGCCAGGCATAGTAACTATATTTAAATCCTCATTGTGGTAGGAAATATTGTTTTATGTATTTGGCACCACATGCTCTTCATAACTTCTTACAGCTACATGTTGAGGAAGTTTCAAAGTTACTAAACGTATTTCATTCTTTCATAAAGGGAAAAGTTTTTGTTTTCACGTGAAAGCTCTAATGGCTTTTGGAAATGGCTTATTTTTTTTGTCATGCACAAATCCCCACTCAAGCAAAAGCACAGTCACTAATAAAATTACTATTGTTCTAAGTTATGGCGTAGCTGACAGCTGAAGTCGAGATGTGACACACTAAAGCATAACGCTTCTATGCACAGAGGAAGAACTCTAGATTCAGTCCTTGAGGGCAGTGGCAGATGTGAGTCACGTACAGAGAAAGGAAAAAAAAAATTGGTACCCCAGATCAGAAGTCAGCACAAAGGCCTCCCATCTCTATCAGAATTGTCGTCCTTCTGTCCTAAATTCTGAAGACAGAAACTGGGACTTTTTCTTAGAAGAAAGGTTCTTGAACTGTTCAGTCAATAAAAAGACATATTTCCAAAATTTATTTCACAAAACTTTTGAACTGTTAAAAACAAACCCCTACAACTAGCAGTTTAAATATCCAGAAGAGCTTCTACCATGGATCTGTCCTACCTCATAGCTCCTGTTTCTAATGTAACTCTCTCCTACTCTTGGTGTCCCACTCAAATGTCCATCCCATGTTTGTCTGCCGTCTAGTGCTTGGAATCAGCTTTCCACTAATTAATAGACAATTCCTTTCCTCTCATTTACCAAAAGACTCCCCAAGATGTTGTTTCCTGCACAAAACTTCTCCATGAACAAGACAGCATGTGCCTGTTCTTTTTCTCTTTTTTTTTTTCCACAACATTATCCTGCACTTTGAGTGGTGGCTTTCAAAAGTTGTCATCACTGGTGCATCCCTTCTCCTACTGATATGAAGTTGAGGGGTTTCTTTGTCAAATAGGCCGAATTTTTTTCAGAATCTAACCCTTCAGTTCATGACTGCAATTGCTCATTCTGGGCTCACCAAATGCTAGTTCTTTTCAATCATAGCAAGGACCCATTGGATAAAACCAATATATGATGCTACAGGGCTGGTCTTCACTTACAGGCTAGACAAGTAAGGTAGGAAAAAGTTAAGATGGCAATTCTAAAGATGGTGCACATAGAAACTGTCACATACAATGACATCTACTCTTAACTTTTAAACTTCTCTGATAGTTAATGTCAGAAAAGGAAACCTTACTGATAGGGCTGGTGAAATACTGCTAAAGACAGCTGAACAAGGCAGTGTGGTATAACACAAATTTCACTATGGCTCCACGAAGCAATTCCTGAGGTTTTTTGTGTCCCCTAATATTGTTTCAGAAAGTTGACATTCATGACTGGAATTTTATTAAAAGCACCAAATGGCTTGGGATTAGAATCCCTTGATTCTAACTGAAAAAAAAATCAATAAAGTCTCTGCATCTGAATTGCACACTTCTCAACCTACATTCAAACACTAGTACTACAGGCGGATTTTCAGAGATAAGGAAGACTTAAAGTAGCGATTCCTTAGAATGCTTGAAAAGCATTTTTTTCTAAGGAACTTCATTTTGGTCCTAGATAATCCACTTCAGACAAACATTTTTAGAACTGCGAACATTAACCTCCGCTATAGGGAGGTCATCCACACTTGTTAAATAAATCTCTCTGTAATCAGAGATACTAATTCCATAGATTGCCAAATATTTTCCTCTATCTGGAATTCCAACCACACCAACTTCTCCATTTACAAACTATGCCCAAAGCTCTGAAAAAAACAGTGGTTTGAAAGGCATACAAACCCCAACAATTGCAAAACTGCACACAACACACAGCAAGGCTTCTCATTCATTTCTGGTTGGAAAAGAATGCCACAGAGCTCTTTACCCTAATAGACACCACTATAATCCATGGGTTGTAAATGGCAGCAAGTAAGCCTGAAGTAGAAAACTAGCATAGTTACTAAAAATGAAGAAACTCCTAGTTTCTCTGAAACTCCCCATTATCAAGGGATACACGCAGATTCTTTACGGAGCTGAAGTGGCAAAGAATGACATATTTTAAGAGTGTCGTTCTATAACACAGTTGATCCACAGTAATTGATCAACAGTAATGGCTCAGTGCAGCAACTGGTGGATGAAACTATGAGTTAGTGTCATGCAGAACTGACTAGACCTATACAAATGATCCCAGACTCCACCTCTTTTATTACAGTTCTGTGAATCAGGGAAGTTGCAACACAGCAGACAGCTAACCCTTCTGGATATATAGGAATACTCTGTAATGAGGAAAGAACACACCCAATAGTGAGTAGTACATTTTAAGTAAGTCCTACCTTGTGCAAAATTTCGTAAAACTAAACCTTACCCAAGACAGTCATACTTAAGCTTTTGAATTACGCATCCAGCTCCAAATAGTCTTCTTTAAAAGCCTCAGTTTTGCCTTTAAATAAACCTTTCTCTAATTATTTTTGTAAGAACCTATTGACCTTGGAACTGAACAGAAAAATACCCCTATATTGCTATGTGTTAATAGATTTATCGTATAAGCCATAGGTGATGTTGTAATTATTTAAGGATTAAAATTTATACACAGGAAAATAACAAAACCACTTAAGAAATGTCCTGAAGCTTAATCTAACTCTTGAAACATGCAGCAAATACAAGCAGCACAAATTTGTTACACAAAGCACTTTATTGCATTACATGTGCATTGACATTTATTGCAATTTGTTTCTTGAATATTCAAAACAACCAAAATCCCAATATAGACACTACCTTTGCTTCGATAAATTGCCACCAACGGCAATGCTTACATCAGCACTTATATTTGGGTCAACATAAAAATCTAATGATGCCGTCCTACTCTGGTATTATACTGGGTAATAATCTCCAGAAAGTCTCAAAAAATAATGCTCAAACAAAAAAACTCTCCTTAAAAGCTCATCAGAGGAGGGCATACTTCCAGCCCAGAATGGAATGCAATGGAGAAAGCTCTGTGATGGCCTTGACTGATCTTGCTCTAGAACAAGCAGCAGTACAGGATGGTACCATGCTAAACCTTGCTTCTCAGCTCACAGGACCATGCTAATGCAGCTAGGCTGTCTTCCTGACCCACGCTGGAACACCTGCATGGTACAGCCTTGCCCCCACTAAGGCCTAACAGCTCTGTCCCACACGAGCTCACAGATCTCTTCACCACACTCCACCATGTACACAGACATGCCCTGCGTATATTACACTAACAAAAAACCCCAGGAGACATCTTTAGTTTAACATAAAAATAACCACTGTATGAAACTCTTTCAAGAACAAGTCTTTATTTTGATGTTTTAGGTTTGGAGCTGAAGAAAGTAGAAATGGATTTCATTCCACTCTTATCAACTTTGGCCAGAGCCTTCTGTGCTGCAGACATCTTGCTGTTTGCCTGTTAGTGAAATGATAAACAAAAAAAGTTAAGCAGCATTTCCATAGGAGGGGAGTATAAGCTACAAACTCCTAAATACAGAAGTCAAGCAAGAAGTTGAATTACTTTTTTAGTATACAGCAGTAAAGATCATGTTATACAGGCTTAAAATAGTAGGAGAAAAACCTTACTGAACAAATTTGAGATTATTCAAACAGAAAAATACTTGTAATGAATTACTTAACCTCAGACAAAGACAGAGAATCAATTACAAGGACAAGGAAGTGAAACATCTTTCCTTTCTGCAGGACAAGGTATCCCAACTCAAAACGTTTACTTTGGGGTAATCCCTGAGTGTACATTAAGAGGAATAATGCACGCAATATAACAGATGCATACTGTACCCTCCGACTCAATCTCATGATTATGCTGTCAGCAGGCTGAATTACAGCCTTGCATTACAGATGATGAATAATTCACACTGATTTATTATCAAAGACTCTATGCAGAGTGAAATAAAGGGAAAAGAGATGGAAGAACTAAGAATGAAGAAGGTAACGAACATTTGCAAAGCACTTTGAGGCCATTGGGACAACTTCCCAGACTTTTACACCTAAAACACATTTTATGAGCCATGTTTTATAGAGCTGACTTCTTTTCTTCCTTATGTTTTAAAATGTTATGCTTTAAATCTCTAGCTGTTTACCCTATTAAGAAAACTTTGCATTGACCTTTCTTTCTTTATGATACCCCTCAGTCTGCAGGACTTCACAATTAGAATACTTGGGATCAGCTAGCAGGTTATGGATAGGATGGAGATATGCAACAACAGTATGAACAACTGTATTACTATACAAACAAAACCACTGCCAAAGTATTTAAAAAAAGAGTAGTTATACTGTACAGAGTCCAAGAGCTATCTTTTCTTTCCTCATCAATGCGCTTCATTATTTCAGAAGTAAATCATAATTAATGTTAAAATGAATTAGCTCTCCTCAGTCTATTTCTATCTTTATGCTCAGTTCAAAAGTTATAGGTACATAATGGGTGAATGAGGGAAACACATGTTTTAAACTGTTTATCATCTTCACTTAGCAGGCAATCCTCTTCTTACTTCTAAGCTAGCATGTGCCCTGAATACAAAAAATTCTGGGGGTTTTGGAGGGAAGAAGGAATGCATCTGTCACTAGCTGCTTCTCTTTGTAAAGGGATAAAGAGTAGTCAGTATTAGTCTGAAGGTCACAAGATCAGCACAGAGGGCCTTTTTGGTTCCCAGTGGACTAGAGAAGGATTCATTTTATCTCAATTTTCAGAGAAATAAGCCAGTGCAAGCCTCACAACTTTGGCACACACAGACAGAATCTATTTCTTTTCACATCTCTGTTGCTCTCCTAGGAATAGTACAGTGGCAGGCACCACTGGACTCAGATTTGAACTGGCCTCCAAACTTGTGTTGGAGCTGGCAATCAGCAAGCTCTGTGTTGATTAAGTTGACATAAGTAAGTGCACAAGCAATATTTCTAGGTAAAAATAAAGCCTGTCTTAGCATCTCTTGGAATTTAAGTGAATGCTGCCATCTTTGTTTCTTTTTCAAATAACTGAAATTTAACAGTTGCTGTCACTAAGCCATAGGACATCTCATTTAAAGATCTCAAAGAACTCTGCAAACATTAGCTGAGCACCTTAACACATGTCAAAGTCTGTGAGGTTCACTGGAATGTTCACTGATAAAATACAAACAGTAACACAGCACAGAAGAGTTCAGAATGGGACATTAAGACTACTAAAGTAAAATTAAACCTGAATGAAAAGTTCAAGGAGGTATAACTACAGACATTTGCCATTTTTTATTTGTTTTTTTTGATGTGTTTTGGAGGGGAAAAATAGGCACTCTGTGCTAATGTTGGATATTAATCTATGCTTCAGCAAAAGATGCATGAATGCAAGGCTTGCTTACCTTTTTGGTTTTCTGACTGCTGCTGTTAAATTTGGTATAGTCTTCTTCTGCTTCCACAGGGACATCTGATAATTTCCTTTTCTGAAATGTTAGAGTGAGGAAGTTGCTCTGTCAACCACTTTTATGATGTACACACATGGAAGTTTAAAGCTTTGGCTTTATAACGTAACCATAGCACCAAAATAGGACTGTCAATCAACTGAAGAATCTGCAGTAACAGTGGAAGATTTGTCTTTGTAATTGTCTTCTTTACATGTGAATATATACCATCTCTACAGTATTCAGAAGAGATCATTCAGCATCATAGGAAGCATTTTCTTCTTCCTAGCCTTCTGATGATTGACTTTTAGAAAACACTCGAATCCCATTTTTAACTTCATGGCTTTGGTGTCGGAGTCTATTTAGAGAACCTTTACAGAGCAGTTGTTGGAAGTTAGTGTTTAACAGCCAGGGAACCTAGACGCTGGTCCCCATCGTCTCATAGGACTGTGCAGCAACTCCAGTGTTACTGCTATCTGCCAACACAAATGGATCATCCTCTAGTCTATTATCTGTTCGTGCACCACCTTTAGAAGTAATTAGTTTCTAGAGTTTGGCAACAGTGAAACACTGACATAGTTCTGCTGACTGCTTCATCACTTGAATCCAACAGAATATTAAGAGGCTTGACTCCGCATGTGCTGGGTGCCTTCTAACTTTGGAAATAATGGAAGTGAATGGTTCTCGGCACTTCACATGATCAGGCTGTAAGAATGAATATTTCTTTCCATAAACTATGAGCATGTGTTTAGTTTAAAGGTGAAAACTTCCTGGTATGTTTCCAAAAGGGAAAAAAAGTATAGAGCATTTTACAACACTGTATTTTTATTATTATTATTATATAGCTGATATTACTACCCTGTCCTTAATATCCTGTGAAATCTAAACTGTGGCCTTCCTAGTTTTTGTGCCAAAGACAGTGATTTTGCAAGCAACTTGCATGGTACCATACATTTTAAGATCCTGTTTTATTCATTTTGTTTATGGTGCTTGTGATCTCTCTCTCTTTCTTTCCCCCTCCGTCTCTCTCTTTGGCACAGAAGCCAGGTCTGCAGCTTAGATTTCTCAGCTCTTAGAACCAGATCCAACAGCAGCCTTTTCTTTTGATTTCAGTGGGATCTGGATCAGCCTCCTAGAGAGGCTGTTTACTGTGCTCTGATTACCTATTTAAACGACAATCTAATGAATAATTACTATTCTCCTCCTTTTGGAATCTGAGAAACAAATTTTTAAAACCTACAACAAAATGTTTGCATTTCAGCAAAACATGTGCTGTTTAGTTGTAGCAGAGCATACATATTCTTTGTAGATGTCTGTCATCATCTGCCAATGGCCAGACTCCCTATGCTGACAAACTGGATAGTATGATGATTACAACACAAGATCAATGGCTTACAATTAATACAAAAAACATGTAATTTTTATTTAATCATTAAATCACAGAGTCCAGACTGTACTCAGTTTACTCTTGTACTACAAGAGAGAATCTCTCATAACTCTTCTGTTTACCACTGATGTTTCTAAATCTCTCCTCCCCTCAGAATTTATTTTAATATACTTTCTAAACAATTACTTTACCATAATGGGAAATACATGTTATACCCTTCTTTATTTGCAATAATCCTATGCTATGTTTGTCCATACACCTTGCCCTCATGAAGAGAAATGTCAATGCAAGTGAATAAAAACAGTCTGAAGGAGACTATGGGTTCTAGTGTACAAGCCTGCCTTGCTCCTCTTGGGCGGTGAAATAAAGGAGTATTTTAATCTTTGAAGTTGCAGAGACTTAAACACAGAAGCATCATATACACTCTGGTCAGTGCTCTGGAAATTAATCAGATCCTCAGCAAGATTTCACTGGCCAACAACTGAACAGTTCTAAGCCTCATTTCCTCTGTAACCAAACTGCTGAAATAAAACTATTTTTAAAAATAGATTCTCAGAACTATCCCAATGGTATAAAAGCTATTCGTACGTAATATGTAATGTACATCACATGTAGTTTAATACAGTTGTTGTAACATGCTTATATGGCTAATGAATATCAGTTGGCTCTTGATGTGTGTTTAATATTTCTTACAATGCATAAAGATAATTCTTAACTGAATCAAAGGGCCAAGTAACTGTGCAGCCAGAACAACTGTCCAACCACATGGAAATAACTTATATCCATGGATATATATTGGAGAACAAACGCTATTAATAACAGTAGGGCCCAATTATTCCTGTATGTGCTAGCTGACATACTGCTTAACAGAACAGTCACTGAACCAGCCAGAAATGAGGTTATTTTAGACTTTCTTTTGGTAAGTAGCAGGGACATTGCAGGAAAGGTCGGTGCAGTAACCAACCTACCTTCAGTAGACATAGGGTGCCTCAGTTTAAATTAAATGGAAAGGATAATCAAAAGTGGGGTTCTTGATTATAGAGGGGCAAACTGCAAACCATATGCCTTACTTCTCTAAGCCAAAGCAAAGGGACCTGATGGGTGAGGAGAACCCTTGGAATGTAAAAGAAAAAAGATGGAAGAAGTGATTTTGGATCTTTTACTTCAAACAAGGTAAAAAACCTTGAAGGAAAGAGCTTCTCAGACTAAACTATATGAATGCTCCCCCTTGCTCACAAAGATGCACACATATTCCACTCCTCCCAAAAAAAGATACTAGGAGTAAGCAGAATTCTACAATGAATGGGGAAAAAAGACTGCCAAAAAAAAAAAAAAAAAAAAAAAAAGATAGATTTGTTTTAGGGGTCAGGTAATACTGGGATAAAGTAAGAACTGCCAAAAAGTCAAGCTGAGTTAGACCTCGGAAAGGAAATTAAAACAAATAGTAGAAGGTTGTTTAGCCACAGAGGCAAAAAAGGAATCAAAAAAGAAAAAGTGAAGCTGCTATACAGTAAGGATTGGATAGATATTAAAGCTAATCTACGCGTAGCCCCAAAATTGAATAAATCCTTTGCCTCAGTAAATTGTTTTCAATAAAGATGAAGAGGGTAAACACAGGGGCAGAAAGGAGAGTAGAAATCACTTTTTTCAAGATAGACATAAAACTCAATATGCTGACACTGTTGGGAGACTGCCTTGGAAATCCTGAGTCCAGAGGCAAAACCTGGCAACTGTTCTATCAGGAAGGGACTGTATTGCTGCAGAATAGCCAAACACCAATATGTGAGGAGGATGAAAAAGTGATAGTAGACCTCAACAGAATGGAGGGGGGAGAAAAAGTGAAAGAAGGAAGAATAATTGAAGATATGGAGTAAATGAAAACTAAACATGGGTAATGCCTACAGACTTTTTTTTTTTTTTCCTCAAAGGTAACACATTTTCTGGTGACAAAAATGTGAAGGATTGCTAGAGGACTTGACATGGTGCCACTTAAGCAACTGAAATGATAGAAAACAAGGATTGCATAAGAATTTTAAGGTAGGTAAGAAACTGGGTAAAAGGGAAACAAAGGCAAATAATGCAGAAAAGGATGTTACTGGTTTGGATGGAGATTACTAGCAGACTGCCATGAACAACATCTATTGAAGATGTTCATTAATTGTTAATTAAAGATAACAGCATGCTAACATTTGCTGAGTGTACACCACTGAGTAGCATTATGAATATCTAAAGAGCTTTTAACATTGAGAAGGAAAAGCCAGAGAACTTTCAAGACTGAAAACATTAAAAACGGCTGAAATGTACAGAACTACAAGGTCACGTACACAGCAGCTAACTGCATGAATTGCTCGTAAATCTGAATGCTGATCAACTAAAAATTGCAACAAAGGAAAGAAAAACAACTGTGTGTCTTAACTGTTCACAGTATGATGGTAAGCTACCTGGTACATCACACAGTAACAGAGGCAAATGGGATTCTAAGATGTAACGAGATAAAGTACTTCCAGTCAAGACAAGAAAGGAAGAATGCCATCATATTGTACCGGTAAAGGTTTTACCATGAATAATGATATATGATTCTGGTCATTTGTTTTGAAACAATTGAATTAATCTTGGAATAGGTGTAAAGAAATGTCCCTGCAATGATGAGGGAATGAAGAACCCATCTTACACAATCAAGTTTGGCTTCACAAAATGAAAACAGAAAGGATATATGTTTTCCCTTTACACATTGAGAGAACTAATGTTAGGGAGGGAAAAAAGCCATTTCAATTAAAAAAACAATGATAATGTTAGCACAACAGCGCAGGGGAATAAATTGGCCATGAATAAATTCAAGGTGGAATTTACAGGAAGGTTTCTAAGCATCAGAGGAATGAGGTTATAGAACAGTTTTCCAAGAGAAGTAATGGAAATAAAAAATCCTAATGAGACTTACAGTGAAGAACGGTCTAGTGTATGAGAGATTATCCAACATGGTTGTCTGGGAATCCATGACCCAGGAGGTCCCTTTCAGGGTCCTCATAAATTACATATGAAAGAAAACCTATGAGGTCATATCGTCCCATCAACCTCAATAAAACTAAATAAGCAAAACACATATGAAAAGACTGCTGACCAAAAA